CGAGTCAAAAGTCCCTGGGGGAGTGGTCACTGCCCGTCTGTCTGTCCATGTCGATTGACCGAGGAAGATTGGTTACGAGTCAAAAGTCCCTGGGGAGAGGGCTGGGGAGGGTAGGACGAAAGGAAAGGGACTTTTGACTTGCAACCAATCTTCCTCTGCCAATCGACACGCACAGACAGATGGACAGTGACCAAAGGCAATAGAGGGACTGCTGGTAGTCTACAATCAACAGGGGGAGAGGGTAAGGGAGAACGATTGTTGTACCTCTGCTTGCAGTTTATTCTTCATTTCCTCTTGTTGTTTTTGCAGGTATTCAATAAACGTGTCCTTCTCTTTCAGCAAAACTTGTGCCTGCAATAAACATGAATGCAGTTAAAAACCAACTACCTTTTGCCTCAAAAAGTCCCATGATGCATAGCATGGGTGTGACAACCGCTACAAAGCTTCTGATCAAAAGATAATAGATCATCTTGGCTTTAAATGCAAAATGCCTATTTCAGATCACGTTACATTCCCTAGAGAATGGTTCTTTTATGACATGTTGAATATTTACACATGAAAGAATCAAATCCCAAGATTGGGATCACATGGTCAGTGAAATCTAAAAAAAAAATCTACAAAGCTTTCGCTGTTGTATCACAGCGTGGGACAATCACAACAGAGGTAGGCTCCAAACTAGGTGGAAGCCCAAAGATCGAATTAGAATTTAGAAGTTGATTTTTGAGGAGGGAGGAAAACCGGAGAACCCGGAGAAAAACCCTAGAAGCAAAGGAGAGAACCAACAAACAACTCTACTCACATAGGACATCAAGATTGGCAGGACTCAAACCCGGGCCGCATTGGTGAGAGGCGGCGCATTRGCAGCGCACGCAACCAGTGCTTCCCATGTGCATAACAAATAACAAAGAGGTCTATAGTGTACTGGTTGCCATGTCCATCAATTTGGATAGACAATACAATACCTTGTTCAAGTCATGCTGCAAAGAAATGATTTGTTGTTGCTGTTCTTGTGCTTGGCTCTGCGTTTGTTTTCTGCTGTCTGTTGATGCAGAGATGGCAGTCTGGAGACTTAAAAACATGACAACAATTTTACTACATAAATGAAAGAATATTATATAGATAACTTAGTTGGTATTAGCATGGATTCCTAACTTTCCATAAGTAAACTTATCTAGTGGCCAAAAAGGAAGCAGTCAATCGAGGCTGAAAGGTTCAAATTGAAGATTCACCAATTTCCATACATTGGTTCACTGGTCAAACACAAAGCGCTCAAGCGAGGTGCCAAGGTACTTTCAAAAGATTATTCAATTTTGAACCTTGCAACCTTGACTGAATGCTTTGTGTTTAACCAGTGAATCAATGTATGGAAAATGGTGAATTGCATTTAAAACAGGAAGAGCACTTCTGCAGTGTGACCAGTGAACCGATGTATCAAAAGCGAATCTATAGTGTTTTTTATAAATACTTTTTTCCCAGTCAAATCTTAAATAGAGTTCAACATTATGTGAAAGTATAGGAAACTATTTTATAGTACCTTTCTATTTGTTCCATTTTCGAAGTCTTTTCAACTTCCAGCTCCTTGACTTTAATCTGCAAACTGAAGGTCATTTACATCACACCTTTAGCATTTACAGGTATTTCAGCTACATGAGAGTTGGATTAATTTTATTCATGACAGTTTCCTTTAAAGGCCCCTAGTTTTCCTTACTCACTTCCTTCTTCTTTTCTCTTTTTTCTCTTTAGTTCGTTTGCTATTATTGTTTGCTATTGTTGAGAAGTTTTAAAGGCCAATAAAGTTGATAAAAATTCCGTTTGATAAAAATTCCGTTGATTAACGGATATTCTGAGAGGGTTCCGAACTATGTTTGTCCCGTCTCGTGTTGGGTAAAAGATCACACGCGGATTTGATTAAAATATAGATCTAACACGACCGTTCTCCCTTAAAGCCTCAGTGGCCGAGCAGTTGAGATCTCGTCTAGCAAACGAGAGGTCAGTGGCTTGAGTCCGGCGAGAACCCAACTGAGGCAGATTTTTTAATCTGCTTATACACTCGATGTAGCATACACTTAACATATAGATC